ATGGGAAAATCCATGGCTGTTTTTTCAGAAGATAGGTAATCTAATTTTAGGAAACCTAGTATCCTATCAAAAGCATACTAACTGACTCCATCTTACTTAGTTGGATACAGGCATGGAGAGATGGGATTTATTCTTTAATGGGAGTCTAGGAACATCTTCAGTGAAGTCTGTTTGATTGCTATTTTCCATGGAAAAGAGAAGGGCAGAAGTAGGAGCTAGATGTGAAAAGCTGCTGCTTATGTTATTTAGAGACCCCAAAGAATTACAGGCTTTTTGGGCAGCATGATATGCTGCCAAACTGGACACAGACTGAGAAAGACTTGTAAATCCCAAAGCCATTTGCCTTGAAAGCAAGTTGGCTGTATTTATCCTGGAAGAGATTCAGTGGTAAAAAAGCACTGCTGTGCCATACTGTCAAAGGTACTCTTAACATGGACATAGCTGTATAAATAAACAATGTTTTCTCTTAGTCTGTTAAAATTACCTTCCCTTTATATGCCCTTGTTTGAAAAAACCTCTGTCAGAAAAAAAAAGTTTTGCAAGAGTAACTATTTGACCAACAGCTGTTTTCATTAAAGTACTATGTGATAAAAATAAAATCTGTAGTAGCTACCATAGTAGCTCTCAACTCAAAGTAGTCTAATAAATAAAGTCTATGAATTCCTTGTGTGAATGATGGGAGATGTACCTGGTAGTGTGTTTACTATTTTAGGAATACTTTCTCCCCACTGCTATTATGACGTGTGGTGCAACTTGCTATGCAACATATTCCAGTCTCTGCTAATTGTTGTTTACTAGCAAGGCTAAGAGTCACCATAATCTACCCAGAGGGCATTTTCTTTTATCTTTATGATGTCCAAAAAATTTTGCAAACACCAACATACTCTTATCATTCATTATTAATATTAAAATATTAAAGTTAGGCTTAGAGAAGGGGAGAAATATTTGGGTTTTGGTTTTACTGCATCTGCCCTATAAGGGATTATTAATTTTCTGTTGTTGCCTTTTTGCATTCCAGCCATTACAATCGTTAGACCTGCATATGGTGAGTAAATTCTGGCCCTGATGTGTATCTGATACTTAGTTTACCTAAAACTCTTAAGCATGAACAAAGGAATAGAAATGTAGAGAAATAGAAATGGTAACAATAGATTTTTCATTATAAAATGGTAGCAATGTATTGGATGAAAATGAACTCTCTGCATGTTCCCTGAGCGTGGGATAAAATAATGAACCAGAATTGTGGGAGAGTTGGGAGAATATTCATAGACAGTCTGGAGGACAGGAGATGGTGGCTCCTCCCAGTCCTGTCGAAGAAGCTCATGCAAAGGAGTGTGTCTTCTGGACAGGAGAGGAAAGACAGACTAAGTCTGTGCCTGCCCAGCTGTGGACAGGAGACAGTGACCAGTGATCCTCATGAGCATAGAGTCCCAGTTACTGACACCAGTTTGTCTTGAGTTATGAGCTGTTATTTTTGTGGGTATATGGCTCAAACCAACTACAGACTCTTCTAGTCCAAGCTATTCCCCTGCCTCTGTCCTGCAGACTACTAGGTATGATGCCAGCTCCTGGCCCTTCCACTATCTCAGCTAGGCCAAGATGTATACAGTAGAGATATTTAAAAATCCCTTTAATATTAACTTGTTTTATTTAGAATATAAACAAGATTTTTCCCCTCTGATGCTTCAAAATATGCTTGGAGAGTCTCTGCCAATAGCAGTTTCTCACTGAAATTCTTGCAGTGTGGCAGAACTCTTTTGAATGATCTTTAGTATGTTCTTGTCTGTAAAAGGCAGTACAGAGTTCAGTCTATAAATTGTGTGTCTCTAAGGTGATGTTGAACCCTGAGCATGTGCCTCGCAACTATTGCTAGGTCTTCAGTGAAGTCTGTTGGAAGGGTAGAACTACTACAGAAAGCAACAAGATGATTTTGAAATTTCAGAGTGAGAAACCAAGAACATTTAAGGTAATCCTTCTTGTTACATCTCTTTACTAGAAAAAGGTAGAGAAGATAAAGACAAGTATAAAGCTATGGACATAGACTGTATCCACTGTGTATGACGTGGTATTTTTCATGTCTCATAGAGTGAATACATGAGTATTATATTTACAAAATGGGGGAGGGAAGAACCAAAACTTGTCATGCTTTTATATGCTTAAATTTTACAAGTAAAATTATTTTAAAAACTGATTTCTTGTTCAGGATCTAGCTGATAAAGTGTGTTCTGCACATCAGTTTCATGTTGTTCATCCAGCCTTACTATGAACTTCTCTGGCTGCTCAGATTGTAAAAATTAAGTAGACATACATTATTTTCAATCTCCTTCAGCTGTAGCATATCACTATGAACATGTTTATGTGTAAGCTTCTACAAAAGCTTTCAAGATTCCTGGTTTAATAATGAATGTGTTTCACTGATTGCTACTCATGTCAAGCTGTAGTTTCAGCACCAGTTTAACCTTTCATCTCACCTAAGTGTGGGTTGCCAGAAGGGGTAGTTTTGTCCTCCCTCTCGGTCTCAGCAACAAAGGTCTCTTCTGTCAGAAGTGGTGCTCTGTTCCAACTTGGCTGAAATCTAACCCATGAAAAAATAAATCTGTGCAAAAATAACAGTTTTCAGCCGTATCAGTTGCAGTTTCATCCTGCAGCCCAGGCACCCTAGTGCTGGTGTGAGGGATGGCGAGAGGAAGCAGAGCTGGCAACAGGGGTTAGAAGACCAGTGGGATCTCCCTTTTCCATGGCAACCTGCATTTAGCTCACCATAATCTGAACTGCAACCTTGTGTTTCATCTGCATTTAAAAAGCCCACTTACTTGCTCCCTCCATGTTGGTAAAATACACAGCTATCTATTATTTATATTGACATACCAATTTTATAGTTCCTTGGGAGAACAGTTATACTAGTACTCAGCTGCTCTCCCCAACTGCAGATATTTAGAGCAAAGTAAAACACCTTTATACTGCTAGAATATTAAGAACCTCTGATTATTAAATTACTTCCCAGTTGTTAATTATTGCCATTCTTCCAAAACCAAGTATAACAAAAGGATTCCTTTTAAAATTGGTTTAATTAGTGCAATTTAGTTTGTGGGTTATCTGTAAAAGCAAGCAAAACCCTCTCTAAGTCAGCAGCAATGTGAAGAATATAACACAACGTTCGCTCCACTTTTCTTTCTTATAAAGCTGCTTCTTTTCTTGCTGCTCTGGAGTCTCTTGCCTACCTATTTAACTGTTGTCAAAGCTTCCCTCCTTGTCTCTGTGGTTATTTCACAGCTTAGCTTCAGAGGGGTGGAGCGGCTTATTGCTTCTGTGGTACAGAAGCATGAAGAGCAGGTATTTTTAAGACCTAAGTCTTGATGGTGGATCCAAACAATGCAAGTCCAAACAAACCCTGAAATGCTAAAGGCTGGCTTTGTATGTCCTACTTTGTAGTTGTACATGGGCTCTAAAACATGGATTTAGCTTACTCAGACATGGTTTCCTTTCACAGTCTGGTTTTGCTTTTCATATGTCAGTAGGCTGAATCCAAAGTATTATTCTAAACTACACATCTATGAAAAATGAAAGTCTTTTGTTCTTCAGACCTGCAAAGATTAAGGTGCTTTGAAAGTGTTCACTGAGATTGTGTCAGAGAATGTGTTCCTCTTTTATGTGTTACATGTTTGCTCTCTCGCATTTGTCACTTGTTTGATCCCTTTGAACAAGCGAGTAGAAGACTTGTTACCTTTCTCCTTATTCCCTGTAATTTATTTATTTTCAAGTCTGGATTGTTTTACATTTCTCCTGTTGTCTTTGGGTTTCTTTTGTTTGGAGCAGAAGCTCCCCCTGGTGCTGTATTTTGCGGTGTGCAACATAGTACGATGAGAAGAAACTGCATAGGTTTCCAGTTATCTGACAAAGCTAATTCTAGGGAAATAGAGTGAATTATTATTGAAAATAATACAAATAATATAATTTTTATTTGCATTTTCAGCTATTAATGAATTTAACAGTAGCTTCATGTAATTTCGCCATAGTAAAATTTAATACATTTTCCAAAGCCTTTATTTAAAAATCTAATCTACTCACCGTAGCAAACCGTGAGAGAAATCAGGCAGATCTGAAAGTTTACAGTCAGCAAACCACGAAGTCAGTTCTTCCCTACCTATTTCTTCTCCAAAACTCCCCCACACCACACTGTTCCTACAAGGCCACATACCGTCTTTGGAGAACAAGTGTTGCAAACTCGCTTAACCACACTGGGGTTTCCTTCAGATCTTATTTCCACAAGTAAAGACTTGTAGCTGCCTTCATATTCTTATGTCAGAGTCTTCTATTTACATACACATAACTGTGAATTAGCCTATGGATTTCAGTGAAAGAAGATCTGCCTACAGGTATATCAGTTTCTTGTTGGGACTTGAATTCATACAGGTTTTCTTGTACAAGTGGTCAAGGCATCTTTCCTTCTTCACATTTGCATTCAGTTCAAGTTAAGGTATGGCAAGGTCATTGCTAATGCTAAAACCTTTTCCATAAGCCTCCTCCACAGGCTGGTTAGCACTGACCCCCCCATTTGGCAAAGGAAAAAAATGAGTTGTTTGCGGTAGACACTGTACCAGCAGCATGGACTCTGTAGCCAGTATTTCCCCTAATGTCCTCGATTCCATTTCATGTCAGAGAATGTGTCACCTGCTGTATGTAAGCCTTGAACTTCCTCCCCTGACACCAGCAGGAAAGTTACCTTGTTGAGACCGAAAGGCAAAGCTGCAAAGCAGGAAGAGTATAAAAACCAGGTTATTGTTAATATAAAAGATGGTAAAATTTTGGGAGTACGACTTCATTCGCCATGTAAGTGAAGGTTGCACAGAACGGCCACTTTCCTCACTAAACCCTCAAGCGACCCTCTCGGCGCCGGGACTGAGGCTCGAACCTAGGAAGTAGGCGGAGGAAGACGACGTTTGCTCGTGCGCAAGCGCGCCGCCGCGGAGGGGAAGAGGGAGCGCGTGCTCGCGGCCCGGTCACGTGCCCCGCGTGGGGCGGTGCGGGGAAGCCGGGAGATGCTGCGGCTGCTGGAGAAGCTGCCGCCGGGACGGGCCCCCGAGGTGAGGTCCTTGCGACCCTGGGCGGGCAGCAGGCGGCCCCGGCGCCTCGGAGGCAGGAGGAGCCGCGGCCGCCGTACCAGTCACCAGCCCGCCTGTCTCCCCGCGCGGCGGGGCGGCTGCGGACCGTTAAGCAGGGGCACTCGGGCGGTTCCTGTCGTGAAGCGAACTTGGGAAGAGGGTGGGGCTCGGCGGCGGCAGGCGCCTGCATCCTGGTCACTGCCGCCGAGGCTGGGGAGGGCGGTGGTCGCCGCGGGGGGGCGGAGGAGTCTCTCTCCGGCGCCAAAGAGGAAGGCTGGGCCCGCAGACCGGGACCTCGCCTTTTAGCGCGCCTCGGGGCCGCCGCCGTACTGCCCGCCCTCGGTGCCCTCTGCAAAGCGAAGGCGAAAGTGTAGGCTCAGAACGCGCCGGACGTGCACCCAGCGGGTGTTTCTGCGCTCGCTTTGCTATTAGCTGATTAGAAATATCCTTGAGCTCTTAACAGGCAGAGCTTCCGCCGTCCGAACACAGGCGCTGAGGGGGGAAATGACTGAGGTGCCCTTTGATGTGGCAGCACTGCTGCTCAGCAGTACGTTATAGTTGTACACAAAACCATTAAATCCAGGGTGAATCTGAATCACGTTGTGATTTATATTACCAAACCTTGTGGGGGAGGATAGTTAATATTCTGGGACAACCTCTTTATGACTATAGAATGTGCATTGGCTGCACTCAGGCATTGAGACAATACCCAGCCAAGGGAGGGGTTGCAAGTGAATTTCTTGATCAAGTCTTGTATCTGGTTATCAGTGATAAAATTATGCTTTTAAGTTATATATCACATTGTTTCAGTTTCTTCATAAAATAGTTGATGGCATATGTGGCCGTGCGTATCCTCGATACAAAGATTATGGCAGTATCTGGAGCTTGTTGGAGTGGATGGAGGTTTTAGAAGAAACAGGGAAGTATTTCAAAACTGCAGTTGGCAAAAACATATCTGATGAAGAGGTAAGGGCTCATAACTGATTGGGCTTGACTTTGGGAGGCAGAATACTGGAGTGATTAGTCTTGTAGTTTATTTAGTCCTAAGGTATTTTTATTATGTAGCATTTGACTAGTAGCAGACTAAGTTAAATAGGTAGGTGAGCTGCCTTTAGAGATACACTGCAAAGACTTAAAAGAAAAAACTGAATTGATACTGATTTCTTAAGTATCACCAAATCTGTTTTCCTTAAAATCTGTAACCTGTCGTTACTGTTCATCAGTAATAAAACCCATTCCCACTCTTTTTGGCTTTATTGGTTCATTACTACTGCATTGAAGTGTTTTAAAGTGTTGACTCTATGCAAATAATAGTAAAAACATCTAGACTGTGAATGGAGCACCATGTAGGACAGGGAATATATTCAGGGCATTCCAGTGTGTAAAAGCTTTGGAAAAATTTGTTCCATTGTCAAAAATCTTAATTCCCATCTTTTGGGTGTTGTTCTTGTTTTGGCTACCTGATAGTAGCTAGGTCAAAGAAAAATACTTTGTAGCCATTGGTAAGTCTGTACATAATTATGTTTTTTCCAGCTAAGCTAATGTATTTTGTCTCCACTATGATTTTTCAGAAACCTTCAGAGCTAAACAAGCATTGTTTGTGTGATTTTTGTTTTGGTTTGGTTTTAGGGTAGCATCTAAGAAGGCCACTCAAGCCTCCATTCTTTGGTCTTTCATAATATAAATGACAAGAAAATAACTTTTTATTTATACCTTGCTGTGGAAAATACCAATTCTTAACTATCAAACACAGAGCGCTCACTGAGGAGATTATAAAATGAGATTATGGAGTCCAGTATAACGGCTATTTGGGTAGAAGCTTGGGTATCTACGGAGCACAGCTGTTACAGGTGATACATGTTATTTCTGTGGTTCACAATTTTTATTTTTGTAGGCTGCTCAGCAGATAAATGAATTAAATTCAAGCTATCAAGAAGCAATCACAAAATGTCTAAAAGGCAGAAAGGAAGAAATCAGGAATGCACTAGTGGAAAGAGTAAATGCAATCTCTTCTGCTCAGCTGCAGGATTTTGACTGGCAGTTAAAGGTGAGAGTGTTGCCTTGATGTTGTTTGAAAGAAGTGTTCTACAAGAAAATAAATGTTGATATAGATCCCTTAGGCCAGCTCATTCTGGAGAATGGTTAAATTTTCATAGGTATCAGAAAAACCTGTTCATGGTAACACATCAAATACTTGCCTGAAATTTGTATAAACTGTAAAAGTAAAATTCTGCCCCCCTTCTTTCAAAGCTGTAATACCAATCTCTTTCCTAAAAGGAAATTGAACATTATTCAGGAACACCTGAAAGTTTTGGTTTTGAGGCCTGAAAAGACAATATATTTAGTCAAAGGAAGAAGAAATATTTAATTTCAGGAGTAGAACACTGATTCAGGATGTGCTTCCCTGACTTTTTCAGATCTTTAGATTCCTGCAATAAAAAATTAATTAGTTTGAAATTATTTATCATTAGACTTACTTTGATAATAAACCAATGATGACTGTGTTGCCTACAGTTTGGGTTTATGAAGACAGCTGCCTTAAATTGAGCTGTATCAAAGACTTAACAATGTGACATACTGTTTATATTTTTAGTTAGTCCATGAGAGCTGTGAAACAGATTTGTAGAGCTGTTAAATGCTTTCCCATTTCAACAAGAGTGTTAAACAGTTTGTGCAGGAAACAGCTTTGGAAATCAAGGAGCAATGCCTACAAGTAGACAAGATTCTGCAAGAGCAAGTATGGCATTGTAGTGTGTTTCAGATGAACTGTTATTAGGGGATTGTTCTCGTACTAACTGCATTTTGTGCTGACAGAAATAGAGACTAGACTTATGTGAACCCTTGGGAGGGTTTGTGTTTCACTTAGCATTGTCTTCTGAAAGATTTTTTTTTTTTTTTTTAATTCTCTATTTTGTAATGGAGATTTCTGGTGCATGTTTGAACTATTCATTTTGCATTAAATCACTGGGGATTTTTTTAGTTTACAATAGTTGAATCCTACCAAGGACATTGTCTCATTGTCTCCTCTGCTGTATCACATTCTGATCTCAAATAAGATGGGTCTGTAGAATATCTATTGTATTACCAACTAATCTTTGATTTTAATATTTGTAATAAGCCTTAGTTATAGAGTGAGTATCATAGTAAACAAAAAAGAAAGCACTGTTGGTATGTAATCCTTTTCATCAGTGCTTGTCCGATAGAATATTTGACAAAGTGTTTTATCAGCTGTAGGGAGAGTTGAAAAATGGACAAAGGTGTCCCCTTTCTCCCAACTTCTGTAAGACTCTTCTTACTTGTTGATTACCAGAACTATTTGAATACAATGACTTCAGAATTCATATACTTCATTTTTAAAGAGCCATGATCAAATGTATCCTCTCTTTTCACCTGGAATGCAAAAATATAGCAGACCAGTACTTTTAACAAATTGTTTTGACAAATGTATTGCTATGAGCAGGGGGTTTAGTATTTCAGTATGTTCTTAGTATAAACAATTAAAATTCCCAGCAGGGGAGTGGGGTGAAGACACATAACAAAACCACACGACCAAAACCTGCAGAGATGATTTATGACAAGTTAATTTTGTCATGCTGATGTTTGTTCCTTCTGGTAGTACACGTTCAAAATAAAGTGCAGATGTGATGCTGTGAAAGACTGAAAAATGAATGGTTCTGCTGTACATGTTGTTATTGTTGTTTCATCAATCTGCGTAGCTTGCTCTTTCCAGTGATAAGATCTCCATGCTTCAGATGCCACTTCTCAATCTTGATTTGGATGTGAGAGAAAATGGTGAAATTAAACCAGTGTCTATAGAGATGAATAAGGAGGAGTTGCAGAACCTAATAAACTCACTGGAAGCCGCTAATAAGGTAGTTTTTACTGATACCATCTTTTTTTTCCTGACTTCTCATGTACTGAGTTTAACTGAAATTCATGGGATAATAGAATAGTTTGAGTTGGAAGGGACCTTTAATGGTCATCTAGTCCAGTCCCTCTGCAATGAGCAGGGACATCTTTAACTAAATCAGGTGGCTCAGAGCCTGGTCCAGCTGACCTTGAATGTTTCCAGGGATGGGGTGATGCCTCCTGTAGCTGGAATAAACAGGCTTTGTCAACAGGCTTCCCTTGATAAGATGGACTGTAGTAGATGCCAGCCACATTGTTTGTTCTGGCTGTCTTGATGGAAACCCAACATAAACCCAACATGAGCAAAATGATAGAGTTACAGAAAGTCATACACAAGGAAGACTATCCTGGGTGGACTTCAGGGGTAATTTACCACAGTTGATTATAGGTTATTATTATTTTTTTTAAAGATGTAATTAGAATCCTGATAAGCATTGTAGACTGTTCAGAACGCCTTAAAGTCTTGGGAGAATAGGAGGAGAAGAAAATGAAATGACAAATGTCAGATGAGAGTTGATTTTGAATGATTGGAGAGAACTCCAGAGTTCACCCAGCATCACAAAATTTCAGTGGTTGGGAATGTACATGGGAGAGTTGTTTGGTTGAAATTGTGTGCTTTAATTTCCATAGCATAGTAAATCGGGAGGAAAGCTACACAGATTCCACTACAGTAACCCAAGAAGAAAAAGAATTTGAAACTTTAATTGGAGTGTTTCAGATTTCTTAATAGAAAAGACTAAAAGAAGTGACAATTTGAAAAAAAATTTTTGGGGGAGGTGTCATCTGACTTGCACCCTGGTGATAACTGAATCTTGGAGTCCCTCCTTGTTCAGTTACCTTTTAGTATTAATACTGTCTCTGTTAAAAAGGAAAATTGTTTTGTTTTGTTTTCTTTTTAAATCTGAAAATCTCTTAAATATTTATTGTGTATTATCTGAGAGATGGAATTCTCTGACATATTGCAGGAGGGGTATGGAAATGTTGTATCAGCGTGTTCTAGAAATTAGCAGCTTCTAGTTGCTTCATGACATTTAGCAACTAAGGGATTTATTTAGATGTTTTATGTAATGTTGTGATGCTGTAGCTGGAATCTGTAGAACATTTAGGAAAAACTGTCAGTATGTGACAGCTGAAAATAATAGTTTTATAGCTCATAAAGTTAAAACTTAAGTTACAATAGCACTGTTAATATTTTGAATTGCAAAAGACACTAAAATTATGTCTTATCTGTTGCTTTAATGAGGCTGATGAGAGACCTCTGACTGACTACACAGTTCCTAGTGAGATAAATGTATTAGTGTAGATACAGGTGATGGTCTTGTGGAATGAGAGCTAACAGCTTTCTTTCCCCTGGATTTTTTTTTTCTCCAAAACTAAACGAAATCAGTAGCTTGTTGTGAACTTTGCACTATGCAAACAGAGATTCTTCTGGGACAGACTTCAGTCTCCACACGACTTTTGTTCTGCTTGAAGTTCTGTATGGAAACTGTGGGATGTTGTAATCTCCTTACTTAGTTTTATGTGCGCACAAGGAAGAATTCACTCTAGGAATGGTCCCTCAGTTCTACTTTGTGTGGAAGGAATCTCACTGGACCATTCTGCTTTTTGATTACAGGGAGCTGAGGAATGATTTGCATGCATTAAATGCTAAAGAAACTTGTTGGAAGTGAGTGTTGTGTGAGATTGTAAAAGACAGCTGAGAGAGGGATGGTGTATTTTCCAGAGGAAAGACATGTTTATATAGGTGCATGTCATACTGTAACAGAAAGCACAAAGCTGTATTTCCTAAACTGCTTAAGTTCTGGTCTCATTCAACTTTAATCTTATTTCTTCTTTTTGAAGGTTGTCTTGCAACTGAAATGATGGAATTCAGCTTGTTCACAGTATCTGATGGCGATGGTTCCCCGACTGACTTTGGGGGGGAGGAGGTAAATGTCCTCTGCAAAGCCAGAAGTTGTTGATACTGTAAAATACTGAAGTGAGAAGGCTGTTATGACTTGTGCCCAAATAAGCAACTAATCTTTTGATAAAAATAATAGAATCTTATATCTGTTTGACCAAAAATAGAAAAATCCAGTGTGCAATTGCTTTTAGTACTAAAGATGTCTAGAACTATGGGAAAGCATCACTTATGATGTGCCTGATAAAACCAAGGCTTACTTGCATAATATGTTGTCCTTATCTAAGGTGCTGCCATGATAATGAAGAACATGACAGAGTACTTGTAGCATTAATCTGTTTATACTTGTAAATAGTAAATAAACACTTGATTTTGTGTGGATAATTGCAGTTAAGTTGTTTCTTGATTTATTAATCACTAAACTGAATCTTCTTAGATGCTGGGAAAAATCAGCTTTACAAACCAAAGCTGTATAAAATTGAAGATTAGATGAGGTCAGAAGGGACCTCTGGAGGTTATCTTGTTCAACTCCCCTGCTCAGGCAGGGTCGCCTAGAGCAGGCTGCACAAGACTATGTCCAGGTGACTTTTGAATATCTCCCAAGGATGGAGACACCACAAAATCTCTAGGCAACCTCTTCAGTGCTCAAAAGTTGTGTAAAAAGCAATGGGGGCTTTGCTTAAAAGTAAAGTTTGGGGGTTAGTTTTTGCCTTTTTTTTTTTTTTTTTTAATCTTAGTTGATGGCTTTTCACTTAAATATGTGTCCTGGGTTCAGCAGTAGCAGTCATTTTTCTCCTTCTTAGTAGCTGTTGCAGTGCTGTGTTTTTGAATTTCAGCCTGGGGACAGTGCTGGTAACACTGAAGGTTTTTGGTTGTTGCTCAGTAATGTTTACTCCAACAAAGCACTTTTTGAATCTCATGCTCTACTAGGGACGAGGGGAAGCTGAGAGAAAGCAGAGACAGGACACCTGACCCAGACAGGCCAAAGGGGTATTCCATACCCAGTATATAAACTGGGTGGAGTTACCTGGAAGGGCTAGATCACTGCTTGGGACAGGCTGGTTATCGGTCGGCGGGTGGTGAGTGGTTGTATTCTCTTCCCTTGTTATTCCCTTTATCATTGTTTGTATTACTGGTGGTAGCAGTAGTGGTTTTATGTTATACCTTAGTTACTGGACTGTTCTTATCTCAACCCGTGGGAGTTGCAGTCTTTTGATTCTCCTCCCCATCCCTCCAGGAGTGGGGATCAGAAGAGGAAGGGGAAGTGAGCGAGTGGCTGCATGGCTCTGAGTTACTGGCTGGGCTTAAACCATGACAATATGGTAATGTTTTCAAAAGGGGGTGAAGTGCTGGAGAGGAGCTGACCTATGTAAGCTGTGAAAAGGATATTCCCAGCCTACTTAATACAGCAGATAACTGGTAAATCCTAGTCTAAACTTTTCTGAAATGAGATTGAGTTTTGGTTGTAGTATGTAACAAAAGTTAGAATCTGTAACACAGGAAGAATACACCAGAAATTTTATGGTTTTTACTATTTGTTGAACCATTATTGCATATGTAAAAAGCAATTTATCTGTAATGCTTACATAAATACTAATTGTGCTTCTCATCAAGTGTAAAATACACACTTCGTGTATGTATATTTTATGCATGTCTTGTATATATAAAAAATGCAAAGTATTGATGACTTACTTCTCCGTAGTTCTGAAATCAGGGTCTTGAGTTCCTTCCACTGTATTTTGTTGGGACATAGGTTTTCATGTAAGCAAAGTGTAAAATTTGCCAATGCCACCAAGCAGTTTGCCACTGACACCAAGGTGTGTGGTTCCGTTGATACGCTGGAGGGAAGGAATGCCATCCAGAGGACCTTGACATGCTTGTGAGGTGGGCTGATGCCAACCTCATGAAGTTTAACCATGCCAAGTGCAAGGTCCTACACCTGGGTCGGAGTAATCCCAGGCACAGCTACAGGTTGGGCAGAGAAGAGATTCAGAGCAGCCCTGCAGAGAAGGACCTGGGGGTGTTGGTTGATGAGAAAATGAACATGAGCCAGCTTCAGTGTGCACTTGCAGCCCAGAAAGCCAACCGTATCCTGGGCTGCATCAAAAGGAGCGTGACCAGCAGGTTGAAGGAGGTGATCCTGCCCCTCTACTCTGCTCTTATGACACCTCACTTGGAGTATTGTGTGCAGTTCTGGTGTCCTCAACATAAAAAGGACATGGAACTGTTGGAACAAGTCCAGAGGAGGGCCATGAGGATGATCAGGGGACTGGAGCACCTCCTGTATGAAGATAGGCTGAGAAAGTTGGGGCTGTTCAGCTTGAAGCAGAGAAGGCTGTATGGAGACCTCATAGCAGCCTTCCAGTATCTGAAGGGGGCCTATAGGGATGCTGGGGAGGGACTCTTCATTAGAGACTGTAGTGAAAGGACAAGGGGTAGTGGGTTAAAACTTAAACAGGGGAAGTTTAGATTGGATATAAGGAGGAAATTCTTTCCTGTTAGGGTGGTGAGGCACTGGAATGGGTTGCCCAGGGAGGTTGTGAGTGCTCCATCCCTGGCAGTGTTCAAGACCAGGTTGGACGAGGCCTTGGGTGACATGGTTTAGTGTGAGGTGTCCCTGCCCATGGCAGGGGGGTTGGAACTAGATGATCTTAAGGTCCTTTCCAACCCTAACTATTCTATGATTCTATGTCCCTACAAAAAAATTGGACTTCAGAGAAGAGGAGGAGGACAAGAAGCTGTAGAAAGGCATCTATGAACAAGATTTTAACAGGCTTCAGGGATAGGAAATGTAAATATATGTTTCTAATATTAAAACTAGGACAGAAGTTTTATGGGTCAACATTTAAAAAAAGTATGTGTGTATTAAATATATTCTGTTTCCATTTTATTTCATACTGGTACACTTAGTGAGATGTGAATCTTGTTCAGTGGCAGCAATTCAAGATCAGAAAAAGTGGAGAAGGGAGTAAAGAGTCGTAAGAATGGAAGACTGGAAAATGTGTTGCACTGAAAAGACTGCAGTCTCTTTAACAGGGATTGATCATCTTGAATATACAGAAACAACTGGAATTTGATAATGGGTCTGATAACAGCTGAAGACCTTACATAAGTGGTACCAAATTAAAGCTAAAAAATTCAGGTTGGAATTGATTTTAGCTTTATAAAAATTCTGGAAAGGGCTACTGCAACTTGTCCAGTGGTGAGTTCAGGAGCATGCTATTTTTTAATAGTGTAAGGAATGAATTGATCAGGTGTATTTATTTTATTCATAGACATATTTGTCTTGATGCTACTTTTTCCTTTCCTCTAGGTTTAGTTGCTTTATAGAAGGTGTTCAACCATTCAAATTGTCTATGGTTGGGAATTTTACTCAAAAGTACTCTTTATATGCCTTTGCTCATGTGGAAGTCTGATGTAGAGAAGGCTTTTGCAATTTTTTAGCATCAGGTTGGTTAGTTCAACTAACACAGTAATGAAAGGCACTGGAAGGTGTGTGGGTTTTTCTAACTAGGAACTACTACAGGTCCACAGGGACTGCTTTGGTGGTACTGTCTTCAGGGAAGGATTCCTAGGATTATAGGGATCAAATAAGTTTTGTTTTGTTTTGTTTTTTCCCCTGTGATCTCCCATATTTCTGTTGGTACTGATTTAAATGGGAGCCGGAACAAGCATTAACAAGAACTGCTGTTAACTGCCTTTATAAAAATCCAATCCTGAATTTTTTACTTATGCCAAAGACTTGTTCAGCTATTTCATGAAACGATGATTTGCTGCCTCTGATTTGTAAAGGTGCTGTTTGCTGCAGCACACAATATTCAAACTTAGTTGCCTCTGAAAGTCTAAAAAAATCAGGTAATATGTTGTCAGCTAGATCAAAACAGCGAATGATGATTCAGAGATGGGAACAAGGAAACTGGTATGTTCACAGCTGCAAACAAGGTTGCTGATGTTCTCACTGAAATGCACCATCTACCAAGGGAACCGTCTTTCTGAGCATTTTTGGCAGTGTGATTGGTATTTTATACTTTTGTGGGAGACTTTACAGATAGCCAGTGATGAGTTAAAAGACATTATTGGTCAGAGACCATCTCTGGAGAGGTGATGTGCTTCTGCTGTCATTTAATTAGTTTAGGTCCTTGTTGGTAATGATACACAAATGCAATTGTAGTTTGCTAAGAATAAAAATGTGTGACTACCAGGCCATTTCTTAGATTGGTACCAGCACAAGACAAGAGGTGATGTTTTTATAAAACTTGCAGACTGAAAATTGCTTACAAAGTTATAAAGAAATAATCACACCAAGGAGCAGACAATATAATTAGAGATCACTCCAAGACCATAAGTAGACCAAAGGTACCTCCTCTTCCTCTAAGAAATGCTATATTTCTCATTTGTCTCTTAATTCTTTCACCCTGTGCACATGCATTTTGGTATTATTACATTCTGAAATTCAATATTTTGTGATCTGCCTTCTTTGGGCTACAGGATGGTTGCCCATGAGGACAGGAAGAAATATACTTGTGCAGTCACAGCTGTGGGGGTTTTATGCTTTGTACTGCTGAAACAATTTAAAAATATTTTTGTACACAACAGGTAAAACACAGCCCTTTTTTTTGACTAAAGGCAGTTTTAGGAACGTATCCTCAGTACATGGGAATTCACGAGAAGGGACAGAGGTTCATCAGTGATGGGAAACAAGCATCTCGTGGAACGTGGCACCAGCCCTGGATGATTTTCCCCATTGTTTATCTCAAGGAATCCTTCACTTGCAGTACAAGGGGCTGAAACATTTTGTATAAGGGTGAACAAGGTGACTCCAAAGTAGCAATTTCTGTGCTGTTCAGTGGTAGCATAAAGCACAGGAATGTTGTGAGAAATATTTCTGTGATATTTAAAATATTATTTTTTGTGACTAATGAGGTTGGGGTTCAAGTCCCTTTCTGCCACACAGGAGAGTTGGATTAACCTGAGCTCTGTCCTTTGCTCAGCTAGCTGCTTTGTTGAAACTTGTAAGAATATAGCATCTCATAGATCCTTACTATTCTGTTACCTTTTGGTTGAAATTGCCAAGGGATTCAAGTACTGTTGGGAGACAACTGTACGCAGTCTAGAACAGTAGAAGCTCATATCCTTGGGAAACCTAACTAAGAAGGATGCCTAGTGCAAATTGCATGAGGCAGCTACGCAGATTGTAAGCAGGTTTAGCAAAAACCTAATTAGGAATAGGACTTTGTGTTGATCATGAAGTCTGGCTCCTAAGGGCAGGCAAACTAACTACTAAAGTACAACAGTGACAGAGCTTAGCATTACTATGTAGTTCACCTTTCTTGCTAAAAGCCAGCCAAATCACTCCCAATATGTTGATGGGAAGAGGTTGTGTTTCTTTAGTACTCACTAATTTCTAGCTCCGGATGGCAATCTACATAAATAGACATGTTTTTCCATTCCGTGCCACTAATAACCACTGCCTTTTCCTTGCTGCCAAGCTATTGCTCTCAAGTGAGAAACATTTTCTTCTGCTTTTTTTCTAAAAGTAGTTTAAAGAGGGATTATGTGCTAGTTATGATTATATACCCTGTTCACAAGTTTTGGTTTTAATTCCCTTTTGAGGCTTTGAAAGCAGGTTTAGTTTCAATCCAATGCACCTTGTAAGCTTGTATGCCAAATTCTATTTTCTTTATGAGAGTTAGTGGTTAAGTGTGCGACAGGAGCTCAGCAGGACACAGGAGATACTGGCTCTGGGCTAAGGTATTGCCGGCCTGCATTAAGGGGCTCTCTTACCTCATTATGTGGTCGGC